TAACATACACTTTCTGAATATATGCATAACTTAAATATTATTTTTTACCCCAAGTGACTCATTTAGCTGTCACCGGTCACATATACATTGTTGTTTATTTGCTATGGTCACAATGAGACTAACTAATATACATTGTTGTTTATTTGCTATGGTCACATCGAGACTAATATAAGTTGTTGTTTTATGTGCTATGGTCACATCGAGACTAATTAATATATACATTGTTGTTTTATTTGCTATGGTCATATTGAGACTAATATACGTTGTTGTTTATTTGCTATGGTAACATTGAGACTAATACACATTGTTGTTTATTTGCTATGGTTACATTGAGACTAATACACATTGTTGTTTATTTGCTATGGTCACATCGAAACTAATATATACATTGTTGTTTTATTGGCTATGGTCACATTTGCAATGAAAGGGAGGAAAATTTGGCTCCAATTTCTAAGAGTCAAGGGTTCCTTTATGTGTACAGTAAAGTGTACATGTGTGCACCTCAGTTTGTCTATCCCATCCCAAGACTTTATTTGCCAATACAACAGGCGCTACCCCAAACAACTGAGAATCTAGCTTGATTCGGACCTTTACTATTCTAGTTGAGATACCAGTGCCCATGCCGCAAACCCTGTATATAATATATAAATCCTGTTTGTGGTTCTGTATATACATGTACCTTCCAGTGTTAGACTATGAATAAAACATGATGTTGTAAATCTTATATTTATATGAATACTTGGTCTAGGAGTGAGATTAATTAACTTCAAGTCAACGATTTATTAAAGTCGAGCTTACTTGAAATAGATAAACAGACAGCATATAATGCCATATATTAACATGTGCTTATAAACATTTATACCTTCATTAATTTCAAAATATGTTTTGCAGTGATATTATGCTATTATATCTTAAATCTATGAACTAATGTCAATGATTATATCTAAAATTAAAACCAGCGGCTGCCAGGCAGGATAGCCCACATTTTCGAGAGATGGATAGAGAACAAGCTAACAAGAAAGTGATTTTTCCTACAATCAAGGGCCATAATTCAGGAAATTACAATTCGATATGCACAAATATCGAAAGGAACTGAGATCTTTGTGTTATAAACTTACATTTCAAGTTTCACCAAAATCGGATAAAAATTGTGACCTTTATAGGGTCCACAACCTTGATATACCATATTCTTACGCTATTTGAGAACGAACGGCGGCCATTTTGTCTGACAATTTTGGGCCGATTTTCACGAAATTCGAACTCAGTCGTCCTTAGGGTGTAACGGTGATGTAATAATACGTTTTTTTTTAAATCAGATAAAAATTATGACTCTTTTGGGTCCACAAGCTAAAAACACGATTTTTCGTACAATCAGGGGCCATAAATTAGAAAGTTACGGTCCGATATGCGCAAATATCGAAAGGAACCGAGATCTTTAGGTTATAAACTTACATTTCAAGTTTCAACAAAATCAGATTAAAATTGTGACCTCTATTGGGTCCACAACCTTGATATACCATATTTTTTTACGCTATTTGAGAACGAAGGCCGGCCATTTTGTCTGTCAGTTTTGTGCTGAATTTCACGAAATTCGAACTCAGCCGTCCTTAGGGTGTAACGGTGATATAATAAAACGATTTTTTAAATCGGATAAAAATTATGACCTCTATAGGGTCCACAAGCTAAAAATGCGATTTTCCGTACAATCAGGGGCCATAATTCAGGAAGTTACGGTCCGATATGCGCAAATATCGAAAGGAACTGAGATCTTTGGGTTATAAACTTACATTTCAAGTTTCCAAAAAATCGGATAAAAATTGTGACCTCTATAGGGTCCACAACCTTGATATACCATATTTTTACGCTATTTGAGAACGAACGGCGGCCATTTTGGGCCGATTTTCACGAAATTCGAACTCAACCTTCCTTAGGGTGTAACGGTGATATAATAATACGTTTTTTTAAATCGGATAAAAATTATGACCTCTATAGGGTCCACAAGCTAAAAATGCGATTTTTCGTACAATCAGGGGCCATAATTCAGGAAGTTACGGTCCGATATGCGCGAAGATCGAAAGGAACCGAGATCTTTGGGTTATAAATTTACATTTCAAGTTTCAAAAAAATCAGATAAAAATTGTGACCTCTATAGGGTCCACAACCTTGATATACCATATTTTTACGCTATTTGAGAACGAACGGCGGCCATTTTGTCTGTCAATTTTGGGCCGATTTTCACGAAATTCGAACTCAGCCGTCCTTAGGGTGTAACGGTGATATAATAATACGTTTTTTTAAATTGGATAAAAATTATGACCTCTATAGGGTCCACAAGCTAAAAACGTGATTTTTCGTACAATCAGGGGCCATAATTCAGGAAGTTACAGTCCGATATGCGCGAATATCAAAAGGAACCGAGATCTTTGTGTTATAAACTTACATTTCAATTTTCAACAAAATCGGATAAAAATTGTGACCTCTATAGGTTCCACAACCTTGATATACCATATTTTTACGCTATTTGAGAACGAATGGCGGCCATTTTGCTGTCAATTTTGGGCCGCTTTCCACGAAATTCGAACTCAATCTTCCTTAGGGTGTAACGGTGATATAATAATACGTTTTTTTAAATCGGATAAAAATTGTGACCTCTATAGGGTCCACAAGCTAAAAACGTGATTTTTCGTACAATCAGGGGCCATAATCCATGAAGTTTCGATCCGATACATGCCAATATCGAAAGCAGCCGAGATCTTTTGGGGATAAACCAATATTTCAAGTTTCGTCAAAATCGGATAAGAATTGTGACCTGTAGAGAGTCCACAAACAATTGTTGGACGGACGGACGGACAGGGGCGACGGCATAATATGTCCACATGAAAATGTGGGCGTATAAAAATACTAGAAACAGAATACATAATTTTGCTTATAATAAGAGTTAGCTATAATATTTATGGATTTACAACAATTTGTTAATCATCTTGTCATCAAAGAATATATCCAGTAAAATTCCAAATGATAAAAGACCTTTTTTCTTGAAATAGAAAACAATAAAAGGGAAACTGATTCTGTAGACATAATCTATCTCCCTCACCAATTATTTGTTCATTAATTCTACGAGAACCAATCGCAAATGACTAAAAAATAACACTTGTTATTTGAAAGTGTCAAATTAATTTAAAACTGAATACCTTTGCTCTTTAAATACCGTTTGTGGTAGAGAATAATTTTGTCGAGTCTGGAGAATCATGTGTAGAGTACCTTATTTTACCAAATGAACAATTCACATGTTTTTCATTATAACTGCACAAAGATCACAAATATCTTAATACTAAATAGATTTTTTTTTAGAAAGCAATTGTTTCTGTAATCGACCAATCTGATTAAAATACAGATCTATATTTTGTTTCGATTTTTTATACTTGCGATGGAGAGAGAGAGAGAGAAATGGGGTTTAACATCCACTCGACGTCCATAACTGAATAAAACCCTCACATTGCAGAGCTCCATTTTACTGACTAATTTTTACTTGAAATTCAAGTAAGCACAAACATCTCTTCAATTGAGTACGATACCCATGCATTATTTACATTTATAATACAGATGTGACGTAATCCTTTGATGTTGGGGTACCATTATTTCAAATAATCGTACGGGCAATGTGCCAAGCGTAACTTGGTAAAATATTGAACTCGAGTGACGTATTTCATTGCAAAGCATGTGCAAGTGTCTGTATTTTAAGTTGTTTAATGGTCTCGAGCTTAAGACATTGCGTAATATATTGTAAAAACATTCGGCCCTCACGGCCCTCATGTTGTTGCAATATATTACTTAATGTCCCGCTCTCGACCATTAAACAATACGTACTTCATCCCTTTCTACACTTTACAAGAACAGAATATTTTTAACCAGTGATGAAAGTTTGCAGTGGTTTTAAGACTCGGTTTTAAGAATGATCACATGGTACTAATTATAAAACAAAACATGGCTAATTAAATTGATTGAATGTTAAGCTTTTAATCTGTTTGATGTTGATCTTCCGTTGATTGTGATTAGAGCAATATACACAAGGATAATTAATTGGCAGTGGTTTCCATTCGTGGACTATTGAACACTGTTAACTTTATAATACCCGACAGTTTACATCACAACACACAAAGAGTTTTGTCATATCTGGGGATTTTATGATTTAGCACAAAATATGCTATTTTTCGGTCATTTTCCAAAGCCCTCAGTCCCGACCGGCATATACGGCCGAATGGAACCCATGATCTGGACAGAACATTCAGCTTTTCTATTATTCTTCAGAAAAGGAGCCACAAACCTAGTTCCTTTAGGAACTGTCTGTGATCGGACGATGTCAGCGCTGACAGTTCCTATCGCTTTCTATATAGATTCAATATGAAAATACTGCTCATCCCCACCTCTTGTCTAAGGCTACTTTTGAATCCTTATCGACTATTTTTCACCCTGATTCTTCTTTGTTTGCCAAAGGAATCATTTCTTGCCACATCTGATACACATTTATAATAATTCAACACTATTTGCAAGCAGAATTTTGCAATTAAAAACATACACAAAATACGTTTGAACTGACCAGCCATTACGAGAATCGAACATGCGCAGACCGCATGTTTATTTAATCGCTAAATTCTACTTGAACATAGTGTTGAATTATTACAAATTTATGTCAGATATGACCAATAAACATTTACGGTGAAAAATAGAAGGTAAGGCTTCCAAAATAGCCAGAGAACAGAGGTGGCGAAGAGCGATATTTTACTGTATTTTCATATTGCAGCTATATAGAAAGCAATAGGAACTGTCAGTGGACATCGTCCGATCAGAGACAGTTTCTAAAGGAACTACAACAAACCATAACATATTGATATTAGATAGCTTAAAGTATATATTGACATACTCCAAAATGATTTCACAATTATATTTTCTATTTGAATCATTAATAAATAATAAAAACAGTAGAACAAGTGTATACTTACTTGATAAAATAGGGCTTGTCATTTTTATCCACACCAGTTTCCCACCCATATGGTAAGCCAGTGCTTGGATCCCAGTTTTCTTTTGGAGGTATCCATGATGTTGACTGTGTTTTGTGACTGGAAAAAAAAGATATAGTAGTGTTAATTATGAAGATAATTTTGAAATTAATTTAATTTCTATTAGAACTACATGAATACTATCAACATACTCTTCGAAAAATATCTCCTCATATATATACATCCTGGAAAACCTCACAAACTACATATAGAATTCCAACAAAATAAACAGAAGGATTTCATTGACATGTATCACTGGAGAAACTTTGTAAATATCTGACCAAACCATCTATAATCCTGTCTTTACACCATATTAATCAAATTACTAGACAACATTATATAATACAATAGGAAATCAGAAAATAAGTCAAAAGTCAATTAAGACAAAAGGATTATACCTTTGAGACAAAGACTAATTTGATAACAATTGTTATCATTAAATAAAGATTATAAAGTTATTTCATTATAATCTGTGAATGGTAAATCAATAAAATGTAATCTACTGGTGAAACAATAATTCTAATACATATTTCATGACTTTTTGTCAACTTGACACATGATGGATTAAGTATTCCATTAAATTTCCAAGGACCTCACATCAAGGTAGATAAATGTATTTATAAATTCTCTTTATACAGAAGGAGATCAAGGGCACATGGTCTTTCATTTCCTTACTTATTTCAACATTATTTGGTCGGACCTGATTGAGTGAGTGAAACTGTATTAAAATATATATTTCTAAGGATGGACACATATATTTATAGTTGCTCTTCATGCCATCTAAATCTTTGACATTTTACCTCGTGCGTCGAGCACATGTAGTTCATAATTTAACTTTACCTTGGGGAAAAAGGTGAGGGTTTCTTAAAATAAAATGGGGTTTTTAACATTCTACTTTTGTACACTGACTTGGATATCTAAACATGTACTATACATGAATTTATATTAGCTTCTGCTTGTTCTCAATTCCATTATATTATTGCGTACATATATAATCATGTCATATTCAAATAAAATATTGTTGAAACCAACGATTCCTGTGTTCTAGGGCTTACTCTTCACTAAAACTATTCACAAATATTGACATATTATATATGCCCACATGGTTATTATTACCTCAAGCTTCTGGTAATCACAGATAAAGTCGAGAGTTTTTTAGATTTATTTTTCAAATTTGTCAGGATTTTTTGATTAGTCATAAATAGTTAAACATACATTATGCAAGAGCTAAATCTGTCTATTGCAGGTCTTTCTTTAGGCCTGAAATCTTATCTAAATTATTAATTAGACATTAATTAACTCATCCAGACCATTATAAGCAAATCTCGACGTCAACGCTAGCCTGTGATATTTACTGCTCAACTTTCATTCATGATTTAATCATGAATGAATGAATGAAATATGGTTTTATGGCACGTCAGCTCCAACCGGGCTATATTGCGCCAAACATATGGTGATTTAATCATGAAAGGGATAATTAAGACTATGATTTTATCGTACCGACTTTAGTAATGATGATAAAGGCTATAGGCCGAAAATTCAATCGCTAAAATCTCGGTTCAGAGTGGATCAATTTGACTGAAATTTTCAGCAAATTCTCTTTACCGTATCTAGTTTTTAACTATTATAGTGAGAACTGCCAGCTCTTTATGTTATCTCCCATAATGTATCTTTAACATATCTTTCATGGAATCCTTGTAATCCTATTATTGGTTACAAGTTTTACATGGTATGCCCTTATTTCATTATATTGTTCCCAGACAAAGCTTATATAGGAGGTAGATACAGAAATCCACAAGATCCAGGGCAGCATTCTATATATCATAAGTAATAGTGGTATAATTAATAACAGATTGTCAGTGTAATTGTTTATATTTCTCTTTGATTTTACTATCCTTATAAAACTACACTAATATGTTACCATGCATTCTAAATTGAGCTGGGGTATTGTTGCCTTAATAAACTCTGCCCTCATAGTGCAATTGGAAAATGTGGCACACCCTCTTCAGAAGACCTAATATGATCAATGTCTAGGTCATATATCATTTTATTATTTTCTGATTCTTTTTTAAATTTAAAATCTATATTTCAATATTCATTAATGCTTGTTTAGTCATTACAGACAGACAGTAATTAATCGGTCAGTCAATTTAAATTATGACAGGCTGGCAACTAAAGTAGTTGATCTGTTGAGTTTCTTTAATTATTGTTTTAAACGCCTTAAGACTTAATCCTTCAATAATTATATGTTTATGTCAATACTTTTATAGTAATTAATTTATATAAATAGACAAATGTATTATGTATGTAAGATGAATCATATTAGTTGGAGAGACCAGCCTAGGGAACCTATATACTAGTTGGGGTCCGAATTCTAGGAAATAATAAGTTGTTTATGGTTGCTGTTAATTATTTGCTCCTGAAATAAAGTGTTGAAGATCCATTTCGGGAATCTGTATTCATTTCTGATACTTAGAGAACACACATCGACAAGCTATATTCACTGAACCTACGGTATTATAATACCAATTCTGTGATTCTGACCAGTTTTCATTTTGACATCATTGTGAAGGACTTTGCTATAAAGTTAATCAACTTTTACATTTACATTGTCTTTGCTGTTCAATCGGAGCCTGTTTAAAAATATGTTGTGATAAGCATGTACAGATTACGGCACCAAACATTTTGGCGGATGAGAAAACATATAGAATAACATATAATCATATAATCCAAGGTTTTCTACCGCCTTAACGAGTGTTAAAAACACAATTAGACAAGAAATTGTCTTTTACTGGTTTTATTCAATTTAAGTTTCACCTTGAGAAGGCTACCAATATTGGTATGATCATTTGTTAGTTTGTGGGCATCATATTGGAGACAATCTATATTAACACAAGTACCAGTACTTATTTCCTCTCTAATGGTCTCTATGTAAAGACGGTATGGTGATATGTGAAGATTTTAATCAGAACCAGTGGTATTTTTAGTTAACTACATACTAACTACTCAAGTGGAATAATACAATTTGCTTGACCTATACTAGTAATAATGAACTCAAAGTTTGTTCCAGTAATAGGATGTACAGGAAAGATGTTTCCCTAAGGAAGGCAATACCATTGTTACAGCAATTGTTTGTCCAGACAGGCTTTAAGATGGAGTAATTGATTAGGTTTATTTTTGTTCTTGCCTTTATAACCCTTTAAAGCTTGTTGAAAATACAAAAAGATGTTGTTATAACCAAGTACAGATTACCAATAATTTTGGAAGATGAGAAAAAAGAATGCTGAAGAATTTATAATAATAACATATAATCCAAGGTTTTCTATCACCTTCAGGAGTGTTAAAGATACATTGCCAGGCAACAAAATATACGCCCATAGCAGCTAAGTCATCCAGGTGGTCACATATTTTTTCTTTTGTCAGTAATGAAAACATTTACAACACATGAAAATCTGATTATGAGTAAGAACCCATTAAACATACATTATGCAAGACCTAAATCTGCCTATTTCAGGTCTTTCTTTAGGTCTGACATGTTATCTAAATTATTAATTAGACATTAATTAACTTATCCAGACCATAATCAACTCTAGATGGCATCGCTAGCCTGCGATCTTAAGTGGATTGTGATCCGATTTACTGCATAACTTTCCTTCTCAATTAAACGATTAAATGGATAATCGAGACTATGCTGTTTAACGTACTGACTTTAATAATGATGACCGAGGCTAGGCAGAAATTTTATTCGCTTAGTTCTCGGTTCATAGTGGATCAATTTGAATGAAATTTTCAGCAAATTGCCTTTACGTTATCTAGTTTTTAATTATTATAGTGAGAACTGCCAACTCGTTATCGAATCTCCCATAATGTATCTTTAAATAATTATCAGAAAACATCACAATTTGTTTCAATTGTTTGTCTCATGACCTTAAACACTGTCTATAGAGTCAATCAATATTAACTTTAGCCTCTAAAGCGACCACAATATTTTTCAACGTAACCAAGGGCTATAACTCTGGCAGTAATTATCGGAAATCGTTGAAAATCAATAGGCTTCTTTGCCTTTAAAGTCAATCGAATATTAACTTGACCATCTAGAGTGTCCACAAGATTTTTAGTTGTGGACAGACGGACCGGGGCGATGACAATATAGAACCACATTTCAATGTTGTCGTATCAAAACTTAACTAGACAAGAAACTGTCTTCTAATAACCAATATATAACTGGTTTTATTCAACAAGTTTCACCCATTTCAGATCCGTCGTTAATATAGGTTATTAATATCTTCAATTGGTCTAATGGTTTGTCCCATTTTTCTCTGATAATATGCAAAGATGTAAACTGGCTTACATTAGCTGATGGAACCAGTATAGTCTTTGATGTTTTCCCATTTGTTCAGGTAATCTTAAACTATTTAAAACTTACATATCACAGTCAGCTAATGCATATAAACCAAAACAGAGGAGGACTTGCTTATCTTCCTCACATTTCAATCCTTAAAATTTCCACCCAAAGCCTACTTCTTCTTGTCAAATCACCATCTTTCCTTAACCCCTCAGTTACAATCACACCTTTCATTCAGACCTTACAATCTATTCAATCCTTACTGATAAAATCCTTACGTTATCCAAAACCCTAAGCTCCTATTAAATTCTTAACTAATAAATATAAAATTTTTAACCTTATCGAATTCAATTCCTTAACCTTACATTCAATTTCTACTTGATAAAAGTTAAATCCATAACATCCCATTCAATCTCTAGCTAATAAAATTCAAATTCCTATCCTTCCATGTAATCCCTATGTAATTCAAATCCCTATCTTTCCATTCAATCCCTACCTAATTCATTCCCGTATCCTTTCATTCAATCCCTACCTAATAAATTTCAAATTCCTATTCTTCCATGCAATCCCTACCTTTGTCATTCAAATCCCTATCATCTACAATTTAGATATTTTAGGGATGTATTACGTAAGAACTAAATGTGCAGGTCTTTCCTTTGGCTTCAAATATTATATAAATTATTCATTAGACATTTATTCAAATGACAATCCCATA